TACTCGGAGCGATTGACTTTGTCTTTGGCTTTCAACAAGTATGAGTCGTTTGAACAATTTGAGAGAGCTTACCATGGGTTCACAGCAACGTATGCCAAGCTCCTCCAGGAAGTGCGTAGGCGTAAGATGATCAATGAACTTTGATTTACTTTTGTCCAATCACATTGTTTTGTCGACTGGCCAATGGAAAACGTGTCGTATGGAATTGTCGTATTTCCCTTTTTAACCTGACATTTAAATATCAACCCACTGGTTATAAATTATCAGAGGTTTCAGAGTACGGTCAAGACCAAAACGATTGATATCCTGAATAATAATGGAATGTGAGAGGTTTTCGCTATGATATTCAAGATATCATAGTTTTTGGTTGTAGCCAATCAACAAGTGCTTTGAATTGACTCGTTCTTGAGAGACACCCGGGCCAACTCCGCAGCCTGGGCAATTATCTGTTCGTCCCGTCGTGCTCGCTCCAACACAGCAAGAGCAGGATCACTCGCAATCTGCTGATAATGATGGTGCACTTCTTCGGACTGGACCATAACCGGAAACGGACCAAGTGACGGTCGAGTTGCTTGAAATGGGGCTGGAACCGGCACTCGGCTCAACAACCTCAACGAAGGATCTTCGGCTACCACGAGCCTGTCCTCCACGCCGTTCATTGAGGATGTAGCATCGTCTTCATAGACGAGGTCTTCAATCTCCTAGCGCCTTGCTTGGCGAACTGAGATTCGCCATTCCGGTAGTAGGAGCGTACGGTCAGAGAGCTGATCGCTGGAGCTTCCATCGACCAGGAGTTTTTCAGCCGCGATAATCGACTATATTTATTGATGTGTTCCGGCTCGCGCAGCGTCCGGTAACCACTGCTGAAGTCCGCGTCCTTGGGCAGGGGACAACCTCGCTTGGGGGGCGCGACTCAAATGAGAAACTGATGTATTAGAGAGTTTACAGCGGCCTGGAAGGTCGCGATAGAGGGGCGTGGGACATCAAAGCAAATGGAGGGGTTGCATGGCACGAAAGAGCAATTGGAAGCCGGGATGGGTTCTGAACCCGGGACTTCACGTTTGTGTACACCAGGACAATGCCTGGGATGGGTACTCCGGGATTGGCTCTGAACCTGGACTCGCATTCGTGATATACGGGACGACACGACTGCCTTGATCCAGCAACAGACTGGGGGTTTAGACAACACGTAGAGGTGCAGACACACACAACACCGGGCACCCATGGCTATTGCTACCCAACACCATGCACCGCCCAGCGGAAACCGTCACTTTCGCGGCAAACTCTGCTAGCATATACTTGGTAGGCTCAATGTCCTTGACGGCGACAGCAGGCTGGGATTTGCTCTTGTCGCAATACGATTCGTCACCCCGTACGACGTCGCCTGCGGTGCACACCATCGCGACGACGGCAACGAGGGTCAACGTCTTGAACGCAGAAAACGTTGTCCTTGACGGCGGGAAGTAGATATGAAAAAGGGCACCGAGCGCAGCCGTGTTGGCCAAACTGCCGCATGACGAGTTTGATCGACATTCAGGTTCAAGATCTTACCTGATTTCGGGTGGGTGGCTGGGGCGAGGTGATCGCGAGATCTGGTGGCGTTGACGAGTTGACCACACCCCCTTCCCTCTCATGGTGCACCCAGCAGAAAATGCCCGTCAAGGAAGAATGCGACGTTGTGGGGACAGGTTGTCGGTGACAAATGACATGCGTGGGCAAATGCCCCAAAGGAGTCCGTTTGCCGGAACAAAAAGGTTCACTTGTGTGAAATTCCGCCGATGCACCCCCTCCCGTCCGTTGGCACACCAGCAGCCGGAGCCCGACTTCTTGTGCGACCTTTGGTGTGGGGCATGTGGGAATCACGGCTCAATTCGCTCTCTCAACCCGCCATCCGCCGCCTAGATCCCGATCCGAAGCCCGTGTTGATCACTGGTGGCTAGAGAGGGGTGAGGGGAACCGATTGAATCCAGAAGTGAGTGCATATGAATTAATCAGCTA